TATTAAGAATAGTTAGAGTAAATAAAAGTACTAAACGTTCTAGATTTATTCTTAAAAAAAAGAAATTAGTCAGTTCATGAAAAGTTAATAGCTTTGCATTTTTTAAATGATTCAAATAGTATTTATGCTACTGCAAGATATTTTAATTTACAGCCAAACTAAATTCGTGATTAGAGGAAGAAAAAAGATCAGCTTAAAGCGTCTGCACCTCATTTATTAAAGTTATACAAAGGTAGACAACCATTTTTTTGGATTTAGAAAATGAGTTATCAAATTGGATTTTAGAATGTTGAGAATAAAACCTTCTAATTACTAGAAATATAGCAGTAAAAAAGCCAAAGAACTTGCACAAACTGATAAATATCAAGAAAAATATCCTAACATTTCTTCTTTTAAATTTTCAAATAATGGATGGACTGTTTTATGAGTCATTATGATCTTTCAAATCGTTAAAGAACAATAGTATCTCAACATCTACCAGAAGACTTACTTGAAAAACAGCAAAGTTTTTTGAGTTTTATCTTTTATAGAAGAATACAATATGATTATCCACTTTAATTTATTGGAAATATGGATGAAACACCTGTAGCTTTTGATTTACCTAATTCATATACTTTAGAAAATGCGATTCTAAAACTATTAGGATTAAAACTACTGGACATGAAAGAAGCACATTTACAGTTATTTTGGGTTGTATGGCTGATGGATCAAAATTGCCACATGTTGTTATTTTAAATTAAAGAATATATCTAGAGAAATATTTTCTAGTGGTATATTTATAAGGGTAAATACAAAGGGTGGGTTAATGAAAATGAAATGATGTGGTGGGTAGAAAATGTCTGGTTTAAAAGAACTGTTGACTTCTCAAATCCCAACTCACTTCTTGTCTTAGATTCTTTTCGCGGTCATTTAATTGACTCTATTAAACAAAAATTACATGAAAAAGCAACTAATATGGCAGTAATCCCTGGTGGGTTAACATTTAAGTTGCAACCTCTTGATGTATCAGTTAACAAAAACTTTAAATCAAAAGTAAGTATTACTAATTTATTTTATATATATTATTATATAAATTAAAAGGATGTTTAATTTAATAGATTCGCGAATTTTATAATGAGTGGATAACAAATGAAGTTCATGAGTTAACTTCATCTGGGCGCATTAAAAAACCTTCATATTCTTTGGTATGTTCATGGGTAAAAGATGCATGGGTACAAGTTTGATTCGTAGATCATTCAAATGTTGTGGCATTTCAGTTAAAACTGATGGTTCTGAAGATGACATGATTTTTGATTATGATAGTCTTATGGCAGATAAGGAAAATAATAATGAATTAATTGAAAATAATGAATTTCAAGAGGATTATAATAATTGGAATGAAATTAATTTTGCAAATGTTTAAATAAATAATAAAAGTCTATAAAATTTTGTATTCGATAAATAAATATCACAACGATATGTTAATCACATGATTTATATAGTTTTATAGCTATTTCCGATTAAAAATAAAACATCACTATGTAAACCACCCGGGTCTTTTATAAAATTTTGGCCCAAAACCTTAAGGGGGTATTTTACATGGGGGGGGTGGTTTAGTCAGTGCTCTACGGTAATTTAATATTAACATTCTTTTATAGCGCTTAAAATTTATTTTCTGAATCCATTTCACATTATCAACTGAAATTAATTATCTATTTCTTTTTCTATTTCAATATTTCAAAACTTTTATTACGGCGTCACTATCACTAGAATAAATTGATTATCTGCTTCAGTTCATCATTTTCAGTTAAAATATCTTGTTACACTTTGTTTATTTCTTCAAAAGTATTATTAATTCTTCATCTTTTATCCTCTCCTACAAGATTTCTTGAAATGGTTCTTCTCTAAATTTTCTTTAGCATTTCCTTATTCAGACATTTCGCATTTAATCACGTGATCATTTTCAAAGACATTATTACTTTTTATCATTCTAGCACGTATAATATGTTTGCCTGGCAAAACTCATTTTTGCAATTGGCAAAAGTCGATTCCTTACCTTTCGACGGACGTGTTAAAAGGGCTTTGACTTTTGATATGAATTTATTATGGAATCGAACTTCGACGGTTTGACCAATAAGATTTATTATAATTTTGCCAGCGACACCGAGAGTTTTTGACAGTTTGATATTTTTTTGCTATGCGACGTAATTACGTCATGCGCGATACCTATTACGTGGCGCAGGAGACAAGGCTAAACTTTATTTCATATTTTTTTGCTACTACATCAGCCGGCGTTCTATAAATCTTTCCTTTTTTTAATGTAGGGAATTTATATTATATATTCAAAGTAGCTCGAACTATGAAAGCAACTTTCAATGCACAATTTTGCGAAGCGCTGTATACACTTTTTGAGTGTAAATTTAAATTTTTTTTTCAATGAGAAGAGTCGAAACATTTAATGAAGATTGGTCCGTAGAATGTAATCCTTAAAGTGTCATTTTATGACTTGAGCAGAGAAATTAGTCAAGTGTTGAATAATTTTTATTGATGTAATGTTTTATTTTATTCTTGTTTTTTTTTGAACAATTTCGCATCAATTATTCAATTTATGATGATAAAGAAATGAGATAACTTGAATTACTTGACTGATGTTGTCAAACAATCACTTTCATATAGAATAAGTCATTAAACAGAACAAGCTCATCAACATGAAATACTAGACTATGGTTCACTTTGTCCTAAAATGGTTGATTTTCTACCTACATGGCAAAATAATCATAATGATAAACGTGAACACTATTTATAACAATACATTTCATATTAGAGGATTACATAATTGTTAAACAAATTATTCAAATTTTTTAAAAAAAATATATATATATAATAAGACCAAAGTCTTACTTTATTATTATTAGCTAATGGATATCGTAACTATAAATACTACTTATAGTAAATAAATTAAATCAATTGTAAAATTCAATTAAGAAGCAAATTATATCACATTATGCAGAAGCACTTTCTTTACCGTTCATTTTTTTTATCGATAAGTGAAGGAATTGAAGATAATACGCTAACTAAATCGTATAAAAAAAAATTATCAGATCCTTTTTTTTTATTGATCGATCAGCCGCATTCGTAGCAGCATAACATGGCATGACATCAGCGGCACGAGTGCCATAAATCAAGTTTGCTCCACAATCTAAATGCATGATAACAAGGGTCGTCGACCATATTAAGGTTCTTTTTGTAGGAGAGATATTCAATAAACTTGCAGTTAATATAACCTATTATCCGATATAATACTTTTCTTCAAATTTGTCCTAGTTTCATATGTACTCACCTCCCAATGCTGATGCTTATTCGATATTTTAAATTATTAAATTATTGTGGCCGTAAAGATAGAATTATGCATCGACAATTTCAGCCAAAATGATCGTGCACTTATTTTTTTGCAGATTTATTTAAAAAAAAAAAAATTTCGTTATTAATTGCAAAGTTAAGGTTAGGCACTAGGAATACGTATTCTATATAAATAAAAATTAAAAAAAATATATATATATTTTTCACCTGCCTTTATTAGCGTCATTGATTTTTGTTATGCATTGTTTCAGCCTAACCGTGTTACTTTTGATTAGATATTTAGATCATCAGCACTAAATGATTAAGATGTGTATCACATAAACTTATCAGTGACACTTTTTGCGTGAGAAAATCATTTTTTATTTTTTCTTCCTACAATAATAATTCCTCTCATAACAAATGTATAAAATGCAAATTATCGATAAGTCGGGCGGGTGGATTGAAAAGGCCATTTCTAGAAAGCACATGAAATATTATGAATATAAATACTTTAGTAATTTTCAAGAAATTGAACAATTTGGTTCTGGAGGTTTCGGAAAAGTTTATCGCGCGAATTGGAAAAATTCTGAATGCTTGACTTTAAAATCCTTTATAAGTCTTGATCATGTCACCGTAAAAGAATGTATTCGTGAGGTGATTGCAACTTAATGATATATCTTTTTATTTTCTTTTCTTTTATTTTTTTTTTATTTTTTTTTTTGATCCATTTAATGATTAGAATGTGTATTTGCGAATAGCTTGAACTGCAACGTGAAGTGGGTATTCATGAGAATATTATTCGCTTTTATGGGATCACAAGTCAAGGTATAAATGATTAATAATCATTATTCTTATCCTTTTGCTTACTTTTGATGTGAGTTTAATGTTGATATATCTCTATTATATTTTTTTCATTAGAAAATCTAAACTTTCGATCGAGAAAATATTTCATAGTAATGGAATATGCTGATGGAGGTTCGCTTCGAAACTATTTAAAAAATTCTAATAAACTTACTTGGAGGGACAAGTACAACTTGGCATACCAATTGTCTTGCGCGGTGTTATGTTTACATCATGAAGGAATCGTTCACCGCGATTTGGTAAGATTAATACGTGGATTTTACATGCATTTTAATTAAAGGATGATGCTTAATTCTTAATCTCTATTATGCAATAGCATTCCAAAAATGTTTTAGTTCACAAGAATAGTATCAAACTTTCTGACTTTGGACTTTCAAAAAGAATTGAGGAAGCATCCATCTCTCAATCAAGGTCAACTGAAATGATCCCTTATATTGATCCGAGAATGTTTAATATGCGAAGAAGCAGCATAAACAAGAACTTTTCAATCCAAACGTATAAGCTAAACGCAAAGAGTGATGTTTACAGTGTTGGCGTATTATTATGGGAAATATCCAGTGGTCGTCCTCCTTTTTATACTGAAGACGAACATCATAGCGTTACTTTGGCTAAAGAAATTTCACGAGGTCTTAGAGAAAAAGATGCTCCTGATACGCCTATTGACTACGTAAATATTTATACTGGTAAATTTAATATTTTAAACTTCTTTTTTAAATTACAATAACGATGTGTTATGATCATTAAAAAATTTTTTTAATCTCTTTTTAGAGTGTTGGGATCATGAACCAGATTATCGTCCAACGATGAGCCGAGTAGTATATAAATTAGAATCGATTATAACAAAAACAAGCAAAACGAAAGAATTATCTCAAGTCATTCAAAATATTGATCCGATGAACGCGAACATTATAGAAACTGAAGTATCAAATAATGAGCCTACTTTACTTGTGAAGAATTTGGGTAGGATCATTAACGAAATAGTTGTTCTCATTTTCAAGGAGATAAACAGAGGAATTGGTTCAAAAATAAGAAATCAGCATGTTTTTGAATACTTTAACAGACAAAACATTACGTTACAGGAAATCGTGAGTTGGTCACTAAAGCAAAATAATTCGAATTCCATCTTTTTACTCGGATACTTTAATTATTATGGGATTGAAACGAGTGAAGACAATGAAGCAGCATTTAAATTGTTTCTTAATGCTTCAAATCAAAATCATATATTAGCGCAATTTTATATGGGAATGTGTTATCAGTATGAATATGGTATAGAAAAAAATGAGAAATTGGCTTTTAAATATTATGAGAAAATTTCCAATAAAGGTTTTGCGGAAGGTCAATCACAACTTGGATTTTGTTATAATAGTGGAATTGGTATCGAAAAAAATTTGAACAAGGCCATTTATTGGTATGAGAAATCTGCAAAACAAGGACATCAAGGTGCTCAATATAATCTTGCATATATATTATATAATGGGATGGAAATAGATAGAGATATCGATCAAGCAATTTATTGGTTCGAAAAATCCGCTAAACAAGGATATCAAAATGCTCAATATAGTCTTGGTTGCATATTTTATAGTGGAGAAGAAGTTGATAAAGATACTGATAAGGCAATATATTGGTATGTGAAAAGTGCTGAACAGGGACATAAAATAGCTCAATATAATCTTGGTGTTATATATAAGGACGGTGATGGAGTCGGTAAAGATATAAATAAAGCAATTTATTGGTATGAGAAATCTGCCGAACAGGGATATAAAATAGCTCAATATAGCCTTGGTTACATTTATTACAGTGGTGATGAAATTGATAAAGATCCCAGTAAGGCAATTTATTGGTATGAAAAGTCCGCCGAACAAGGATATAAAATAGCTCAATACAACCTTGCTCTTATGTATAAAATCGGAGACGGAACCGATAAGAATATGGATAAGGCCATCTATTGGTATGAAAGATCCGCAGAAGTTGCTCAAATTGATTTTGATAAAGATATGGACGAAGCAATTTATATGTATGAAAAATCTGCCAGACTAGATGCTCAATATGAACTTGGTTGTATATATTGTAGCGGGGATGGAGTTCCTAAAGATGTTGACAAAGCGATTGATTGGTTTGAAAAATCTGCGGAGCATGGGCATAAAATATCTCAATATAATCTTGCACTTATATATAAAGATGGCGATGGAGTTGATAAAAATATCGATAAGGCAATTTATTGGTATGAAAAATCAGCAAATCAAGGTTATGAAGTTGCTCAATATAACCTTGGCATCTTATATTATAATGGGGATGAGGTTGATAAAGATATAAATAAGGCGATTTACTGGTATGAAAAATCTGCGGAACAAGGTTATCGAAGTGCTCAATATAATCTCACGTGTATATATTATAATGGAGACGGGATTAATAGAGATATGGATAAGGCAAGTTATTGGTATAAAAAATTCGCGGAACAAGGGAATCCAAGCGCTCAAAATGAATTGGAAAATCTTTTAGAAATTAGAATGGCAAAAGAGGAAAAGAGCGACTCGTGTAAAATAATGTGAATAGAATTTGTATTTTAAATGTATGTAATATTATTCAATGTAAATTAAATAAATTATCAATCATTATTAATTTATAATAAATATAAGAAAGATTATTTATAAATTAAATTTTTCCATTTTGTAAAACTATAAACTTGAAATTAGGGATGTTAATGGTCATGGTCATGACTGGTCATAACCGTGACCGATTTCGATTCTGATCGACCGGTTGAGCGACTGACTAATCATTTTTTTTAATTAGTAATATAAGGAAGCTTTTAAATAATCGTTAAGTAAAGATCAAATTATCATATATGGTTCAACTATATACAGTAATTATATCATGTCGATCAAACTGACGGACGGTCAGCCAAAAACCTTTGACCGACCATTGACCGACCGCTTGATCGACCATGACCGATCGTTATCATTTACATTTCAATGCAAGTTACCTTTTCTCGATCGCTACCAAATAACTGTCACTAATCATAAAGTAATTCTAAGTACTTCCTTTCCATGATACGATGTCACTCTTAATTATAATAGAAGAAAACACGCAAGTTTATTGGATAATCGCAAATTTTTGCTGAATTTTTTTTTTCTTTGATACTTCAAAACAATTTAATCTAAAAGGTTGAATTTTTTTTTTAGTTCATTATCTTTTCATTTTTACAGGTATTATCATATCAAATTTTTGGTTCAGTTTACGACTCAATCATGATATTTGACAAAAAGTACCGTCTGCCGGCTCTGCTGATCCTTCGTCTTAAAGTGACAAAATTTCGATACGACTAATAATTCTCGAGTATTATTTCGTATGTAGCGTACAATAAAACGTCTTTCATCATAGGTACATTTATTTTTCTTCGAACATCTCTAGAATTTTTAGGACAAAATATGTCCAGATTTTAAGTTATGTTTCTATAATAATTTTTCTGAACGAAGAATCCTGATATCAGTATTTTTTTTTCAAAGTTCTTCTAAAAACAAACAAAAAAAAAAAGTCATGTTTAATTTCTTATTTAATGAAGTGAAATTAAAGTTGTATTGAGGTTTTACATATTTATATATATATTTTAAGAAAAAAAAATTGGAATTGACTAGTAACGAAGGAGATAAGTGAACAAACATGTCAGAACAGACAAAACTATACTATTCACAATAAGAAATTTGAAATTGTAAACAGTTGCAAAACCTTATTATTTACTAGTACTGTTGATTTTCCGATACTAGAAAAATATGAACGTACAGGTTCTAGTTTTCTTTTTCTTACATCCTGAAATTGTTGCTTATTTGCCACAAAACTGCACGAAAACTGTACGGAATGTCAATAAATTTCTTGTTCATTATTTTTACTTTCAGCAAGAAGCGTAAAGTCATAAGAATATGAAGTTAAATATGGTCAGACGGTCTAATCACTGATTTGACCTTCATTAAAAGTATACGCGATTAAACAAAATTTTAATGAAAATAAATTTCTCCCCATGAAAATCTTTCTATTATGAAAGCAAATGATGGAAAAGCTAAGCTATTTCTCACTTTCCATGCATTCATAAACGCTAGATTTACTAAATTATGCGTCTTCATTTTATCGTTACCGATATACAATATGTAAATAAAAATAAAGCGAGAAATTTACGGTCTGGTGCAAAAGTCTCATAGATCAGCCAATTTAAATCCAAATCGGGTTAACTTTAAACAAATGTCTGAAAGCACTAACAACAAGACTGCGCAGGCTCAATCCATTCAACATTTGTGAAATTCTGGGATTACGAATGCAGCCGAAATAAGACGGCGAATAAAGGTCCACAATAATATTTCAAACTAGAAAAGTTGAAAATAACCGGACGCATGGGTGGATTTTGTAATCGGGCCATTACTGCTTCTCAGAGAATATGACCGGAGAATTTTATGTTGAAGTAATAAAAAAGCATCTTCCTGAGATCAAGAGGATGCTACGTAACAATTCGCGCCTCCAGAGGATAACGATCCTAAGCATACGAGCCGCGTAGCTAAGGAATTCCTGCAAAAAAAAGTTCCAAATGGACTGGCCATTTAAATTATTGGGGATTTGGGAAAATTTATGGAGGAATGGTCAAAAATTCCACATGTATTCCTATTAAATTTTTTTTAATAAAATCTTGAATATTTTATCATGCAGGTTATCTTTGTCCAAAGACTTTTGCACCAGACCGATCGACGCCACTCATACATTTCGATATGGAAATATATGAATGATTTCAATTTTAGAAACTTGATCGGCCTCATATAACTGATTCATTCATTTTCAATTATGCCCCTCCAGAAACTGATTTTCCGGAATTTGGCTAACTGGTAGACAATTTACTTTTTTTTATTCAATCAATAAAATTGTATTTCTAATTTAGATGATGGAAATCAAAAGTTCTGCGGCGCATATTTTGACAAATGTGCTTTTTTCTAAGCTACATCCCACTTTTCATTTTGAACGTTGTCAATAAGAAAATTTATGATTTACGCTATTAAAAAAACATGAATCCGAATATAATCTTTAGGACGTATCATGAAAATTATAAATTTAACGCGAGAATCAATCAATCTTTGTAATATTCAAAATCACAAATTGCTGAATGATTGCTAATCGTTTCACTTCGAATATATAATAGACCCCCGTAAAAAAAATTTCCTGGGGTTGTAGGGATCCTTGCATCTAACTTTTTTTTATCGTTTCGATACCCACTCGATAACTTCGATAAGGTTGCTAATTTCAAAGTGCCAGTTTGTATTGGAGCAAAGTTACGTTGACTCCGCTATTTTCAAACGAATGCTAATTTTAAAGCGTTAACATATATAAGGATCTACTGTACTTCCCCGTATTAATTTCTAGTATTTTTTTTTTTTTCCCTTGTATCCTTGTAGGTATCATCATGTTCCTTCTTTTTCTTATAATAATCATTGGCTGGTATAGGGGAACTTATATAATGCTATTCCTACTTTTCGTCGTTTTTTTCTTGTAATCAATAGATAATCTTTCGAGGTTTAACATTTAACTCGATTTTTATTTTCCCGGTTGTTTTCCAGTTTTCTATTGCAAAGGTCCCATAAGATCGCTCTTTGAACACGAAATGAAAGTGTTTTTACGTAATTTCCGTTAAGGTTTACTTTGGGTATGTGTGATTAACAGTTCTGGTGTAAAAAATTGAGCATTAAAAATTTAGCCTGGATAGAAATAATTTTTTTAAATTTCTATAATTTATTGTGCGTCTTGGCGTTGACCTTATGAGAAATACAAAAACTCTTATCGAATTCCTTCCAAGACTTGTTTTTATCTCCATAAAACACGTAAAGGAAATTTTTTTCACACGTTAAGATCTGAGGTCATGAAGTAGATCAGATCGTAGGCTTGTTAACATTTCCACCTATTAAAGAATCATCTTTCATGTTTTCTAAAGTCAATGATTTCCTTTGCACAAATAAAATACTTTTTTTTTTAAATTCTTTTGGGTATAATTCATTTCCAAACTTAAGGCTTAACCTTTTTTTTTAATAATTGATTAATTTAATTAGTTTCTTTAAAAAAAATTTCAAAAGCTAGAATAACAAACTTTATATTATCAAATTTGTTGAATTAGTTTAAAGACCTGCAAGGATCATAAAAACGGGAGCCTTCAAGATGTCTCGAAACGGCCGGCATTACGACATTAATATAAGGCTTTATATTTAGATCCTAATATAATGAATATTTATTCCAAAATTTTCTGAAAAAAAAAAAAAATTTTTTCTTTTATTTCAATTCCTTATTTGTTAAAAATTCTCGTGTAACAGGGCTTAACATTTATATTTAAAACAGACAAAATTACCTAAATGTTCAGCATTATTGAGGTAATGAAGAAAAAAACAAACTTCAGACTCACCGCAACAGTCTCTTCAGGATGATTTCATAATTTTTGTGAATCCTTCGGTTCAAATCTAATTTGTCCACCGTATCAACAACTACCATATTAATTTATTAAATAATCAACAACAGTATATTGATGAATAACGTGTTTTATATTCCTCAACAGCGGGTACTAAATGATTTACCGCCCTTACGAGTTTGTCTAGGTCCTGCAGAGAATAGTGAACAGGATAATGAGTAGTATGATTACAATGATAACGTTTTAGAAGTTTTCTGCTATAAAACAAATTATTTTATTATTATCATTATGATAAAAAATAAAGTTATTACGTTTGCGTACAGAAACAACGACAAAAAAAAAAATGCACCTTATTAATCAATTAGAAGAATAATAATTATTTTTTTCTGCATTTATTTTTTTTTTTTTTTGTTTTTATCGCTGTTGACAAGAGCAAAAAAAACAAACAAATAACCCTCTCATGAATGTATTATATAATGTTGCTACTTGTTCTTTTTTTTCGTTGTGCGATCGCTGGTTAATTTACAAATTTCTACTTCAGGTGATTTAGATCAGGTGGATACCACCTTTTGTAAATATTAGAGCCCCGTATTTTTCATTGCATTTTGAAATATCTAATGAATAATGTTCCTTTGATTCAAAAGTAAAAATTTTTTACTTAGCGAGATTTATTGTTCAATTCATTACAAAATTTCCCACATTATTCTTGATAACGGATTTTTGTTACCCTTTATTGCTAGTATAATTTACATAACTTATGTGTAGGCATGTCCATTTTTGATACATTAAAAAAAAAAAAAAAAATTGGCGCGTAAAAAATAATAATATATTTTTTTTTTTTTTGCTAATAATTTAATGCAACCTTTGTATATAGAGAGGATCTTAAGAACGGTCTCGATTCATATTATATGCCTTTTTAGAGTTTAATATATATATAAATTGAAAAAGAAAGAACTGAGAATGATTTTGGAAATTATTAAAGTTGGCTCTAAAATGTTGCAGACAGGTTCTAAAATAACATCCTACGACAATACCCGAATCACCTGCGTATACTGTGGAAGGCTCCTATATCCGAAAAAAGCTTCCTGGACCTTTTCACGACCTATCAATCACCTATCCATTACAACAACATATCCCAAACATTTAAACATCACGTAAGAATTCGTTTACAAGATTCACGCTCCCTCACCTTTCCCTAAATCCTCGCAGTCCCATTTGCATAAAAAAAAGCACCTCTCCTTGGTGTACTTGCACTGCTCAATGGGTAATATCCAACCCTTCTCCGAATAACGGTAACGTTAGAGCCCTAGTCGCATTCTGGATCAGCCCGACGACATCACTTTCGATCCTTCTAACCACCCGAACGATGATCCAATTCATGACGAAACCTTGGTGCATATTTCTACGTCCCTTCCGTAAACACTCGAGACATGATAGTTCCGAACTCGAAACTTTCCTTAAGAATTGTTGACAGGATTCATCCGAGAAAGTGACACGTTACACATCCCTATTTCTACCTACGTCTCTAATATTGAAGGTCATTTTCACGACATGATGTACCAATTGACCGCTACGGACGATGAAGTCAGGTAAGAAACTTATGGTAATTAAATCAGACTACGACTAACAAATTACGACTCGACTACATTAATACCTGAAAACGAAAAAAAAATTCAATCTTTAATATTAACATCAATTTCGATCATGATAAACGAGACTTTTAATAAATTTAACAAAATTGTAAAGTTGTAATATTTGAATAATTTTATTTGTTAATTTAGGATACATAAAGTGATCAAGGAAACTTTTTATAAATGTTCAGTTCATTATTTATTCCTAAACCTTTCCTAAATGAAAATAGTTCAAATCCCCTATGTTCCCTACTATGAATGTCCAACGATCCAACTTTGTGTACAATCCTTTTCCAAAATGTAAAATAAACCTTAAAATTCTTCCTCTTTCCGAAACTTGGATAATTAAATAGAGGATAATCCCTTCCCATTTCCTAACCCCAAATATAAGGCAATTTAATTTAAATAACATGAAAAATTGAATAATAAATCCTTCCAAATTCCCGGAAATTGAATAATAAATCCTTTCAATTTCCCCACCTCAAAATTCGAACAATAAATAATAAACGTTATTAATTTCCACCCCCCGGGGATGAATAATAAATCCTTTCGTCGGGGGGGGCCGGGTGCCTTCATAAAAGGCTTGGAACTGTAAATGCTTCGTTCCCAAGCGAATCGAAACGGGTAGTATATGTATGCATAATGTGTATATTTTTAGTAAATAGTATACATTTTTTTGTAATACCAGTAAGGAGGTACATTTTATGAAATAGAATTTCTTGAATTTATTGAATTTTTTTATTTTTTTTGGTTTTTGATTTGATGTTTTTTGATATCAGGAAGTGGGTGTATATATATATATAAAACTCAAGGCCGTTATCTCTTTTATCATCATTAAATTGCCAAATAATCTTGTGATTTTTTTATTTGTTATACCAATTTGAAGAAATGGGAAAATATTAAACCACTTTTAGAAAACAGGAAGAAATTTGTTTAGATACAACCTTTCTAGCCTTACGCGCAGATACCAATTTGAAGAAATGGGGAAAATTTTAAATCCATTTTTAGAAAACAGGCTCCCTAGCCTTACGCGCAGATATTATGATAATGCATGTTTGAACAATGAATAAATTGTAAGGATTAAAGAAAAAAAACCCCCTTCCCCATTTTCTGTGGGAACTTTACCAAAAATAAATATATGTTCATATTTTGATTATTTATTTGTTTCATTTTTTTTTTAATTTAGATACCCGGTAATAATTGGTACCACAAAATTAATATTGATTTTAGTACAACGTATTGATTTTTTGGGAAATTTCTTTTTTTCCAATGATCTTGTATTACAAACATTACATAATGGAACAATATTTAATTTTATACGAATTTTATACGTGACTAAAAATATGAATCTGTAGTGTTTGGATCCTCCTTATTTAATTCACCCTTATTTAATTCACACAATATGGAATAATAGGACCGGGAAAACTTCTAATAGAGGTCACCATCAGAGATGGTTCGGGGCTTTATAGATTTTAAAAAAATGTCACTGAAAAAATATGATTCGCATTCATATGATAACGCATAAAGTTATAGTATTTTTTTGGTTCATGATAATTTATGTCATCGTTACCGAATGATTCGCAAATATTAATGCTAAAAATAAGTTACTATATATAGTATGGTTCGGGTTTATAATTGATTTATATTTTATATATTTATATATATATATATCTGATATAGTGCATATGAGTTTTATAT